CCCCCACACCAACCCTTCTTCATGAGTGTGAGCACAGCTGCTACCCCATCAACCTACACTCACACAGAGAAGAAAGAACGTTGGACTAGTGGACTCGTGGACTCGTGATTTCTTAGTGACCACGGTCAGCCTCCACCAAAAACGTAACCCGTAGACAAGACACATACCCACAGGGCTGCTGTTTGCTGATCATCATGGTAGGTCTGAAACTTGTAATTTCCTGATGAAAATGCTAGGTCTGAGTGTTTAGTCTCAGTGTTGGTATTTCCTGATAAAATGTTTGGTCTGAGTGTGTTGGTATTTCCTGATAAAATGTTTGGTGTGAGTGTGTTGGTATTTCGTCATAAAATGTTTGGTGTGAGTGTTTAACTGGTATTTCCTGATGAAATGTTTGGTTTGAGTGTTGGTATTTCCCGAATATAACAGCATGTCTGTTCCAAAGACACTATTATTTTCTTAGTTACGATAGACCTAAGTGCCACTGCTTACTGAAAATAATGGTAGGTGTGAGTGTTAGCATTTCCTAACAACAACTTTGTCCCAGTACCGATATTTTCTCTAAGTAACGAAAGTTTCTAGTGTCTCTATTTGCTGACAACCATGGTGGCTATGAGTGCTGCTATTTCCTGACAATACTGGTGCGTCTCAGTTTTGCTACCTCCTGACAGTAACGGTAGAGGTGATGATAAAATCCTGATAGGGGATCTACAATGTCTTTATTTCCTGACAATAACAGATCTAAGGGTCACTATTTCCTAACGAAAATAGTAGGTCTGAATGATGGTATTTCTAGACACTGATAATACATGTCCGAGTGTTACTATTTCTAGGCAATAATGGTAGGCTTAGGGCAGTTAGGGTCGCCTTTTTTTTCAATAATGGTAGCTTTCAGTGACATTTTTTTTCTCAAGTTTTCTCTTTTATTTGATTTGAACATCTTGTTTTTTAAACTATATTCGGTTTACATAATTTGAGTTATTTTCTTTTCTTTTTTTTATAGTTTTCTCTTTGGTTTGATTTGATTTGATTTGAGCCTTAGTTTCATTTCTTCAGTGTTGTTTTAGGTTTGGTTTGAGCGTCTTTCTTTCCTTCAACTATCTCCTCCTTAACCCTATCCGTACGCCGCCGTGTTTTACTATCGTATCCATACGACGTGGGGAACTCTGTGTCACCACTTTCCAAAGAGGTAGGCCTACGTGTAATTTGGTCGTTAATCCGATCCGTACGCTTTGCATAGCAGTCTGTCAAAATATTTTTTTTTTTGGGAGAAATATTGAAAGTTTCAAAGAGATCTTCGTTCTAGAAGTATTCTAAAAATGTGAAGAATACAACCTCGGGGGTACAAAATGACCCCAGGGTGTACGGATAGGGTTAACCAGGAGTGTAGTATTCCCCCGGCCCGCGCCCACCTCGGTGACTTTTCCCTGTGACTTACAGGCCAGGGCGTGTCTGTCTGTGCTGGAGGCTGGCCTGATGGGGCCACGCCCCTTCCGACCCTCCCGGCCCCGCCCCCTCCACACACTCTCTCTGTCGTCACGGACCGGGCAGCTGATGACGTCAGTCCTCCAGCCTGGACACAGGATCCTCCTCAGACAGGTTTATAGTGACGTCAGAGCGGTCATCACGGCTATCATCATCTTCAAAAATAGACAAATAAATACATAAATAAATACATGAATAAATAAATAAATAGATAAATAGATTTTTTAAATGTCT